GCCTTCTCTATATGATGGAAGAATCCCACCAGCACCCCCTTCTCCGATACAGCCGCTTGGAGACAGTGAATTATTTTCATGTTTTCCTCCCCTGCCTGTCCGCCCCCTCCCATCTTTGATGAGTGAAGAGCCTGAACCCCCAACTTCCCACTCTTGTTGCTGATGAATGAGATCTGGCCCATTCATTCTGGGGATGCTCCTCCCACGATTTTTTCTGACTCCCCTTCCCTCCATGAACAGGTCTTACTTGGATGGGATCCTGCATTACAGGCAAGTGCCCTGTCATAAAGCGAGCTCGGGGCGGGCTTCCTGTTTCAAGTGAGTATGGGGCTCCTTGAGGGAGAACGTGAGGTCCTGAAGGTTACTTGTATAACCTAGATCTGGATAAACTGAATTCCCTCAGGCAGAAGCTCCTGTGTCGGGTTTGTGGAAGGCAATTATATTGTCTCTACCTATAGCATAACTAACAACCACAGGGCCCAAAAGGACCTTTTTTTCTTGGTATATAGGCTGTCTCTTAGTGTTGTGGATTTAGGAACCCGTTACAAAGATCCACTCCTTCCTCTTTAAGTCTCTGGAGCTCGGCGCTCTCTTGCGTACAGACTAGAGGTGGGGGGGTATGTATTCATATCCATACACAAGTACAAAAATCCTTCCTCATCTCTAGTACAGGCTCTCACCTGCTGCAGCAACACGCTCTATGCACTGTGTGGTCCTCTCCTATTCATCTCTGGAAGAGGTTCTCCGTATGAAAAAGGTAGTAGGAAGGAAGGTAGATTTAATCAATCTTTCCTTCTGCTTTGCATGATGATTTCTGATTGGGGTTTTAGGAGGAACTGTCCCCTCTTGGGTTCCCCTAAATATTTTGGTTTTTTTTTTCTGCTTCTGTAAATGGCCGATTTCCACAAAACACTTCTGGGCTCCATAGCCATCAAAATAGCTATTAGTGACCGTGGCATAGTATGGATGATGATGGATTAATGGGAGTTTTACTCTTGTGAAGCTTCTTGATTAGCTTGCACGGTGATGGGAAGCGGCTGGGATTCCTTGGGTCCCACCAATCCTGGTTCCAGTGCTTATGGGATGGCGGAAGCCCCTGAAAGCTTCTGATGGCCATCCTCACGTTCTCTGAAATGTTAGACCAGAACAGTGGTTTTCTGAGCTTTGCAGCCTCATTAGGACCTGTTTAGCTGGAAAGGGAATGGCATGAGTTCCACGAAAGGGAGCCCAGGAATTCAGCCGTAGTGGTGTGTATTTTCATCCACAGCTTTAATGACGCGAGGCCATGAGGAGACGGTGTGAAAGCACAGAACTGGCCTGTGAAAACAAGGTGGCCTGTGTGTGTGTGTGGTGTTGGGGATTTTGCAATGTCTGGCTTTCATAGAGAGTGCCAGGAAAAGTGTTTGATGAAACAAGACAGTGGGTCAATATATTGCATCACTTTCCTTAAAAACACACACATACACACACAAAACAAAAAACCAGGATAGGAACCCAGGTGATGACACAGAAGTGCCCTTGCTGTCAATGTACAGTAGTTACTTTTTAGTACATGACTTGTGTTGTCCTGAGAGCATATGAAAAGGTGAGGCAACCAGACTTCCAAACCCTGCCTTGCTGAATTAAAGCAACAACCCCTCCCAGGATGTTTCTTTTTAATACAAGGACGGTGAAATGCCTCCTTGCCTCAGAAGCACTGCCAAGCTAGGTATGGCAGTAAAGAGGCTTTTCCTTTGCTTGTCCTCTGCACCGTTTTGGGGTATACTGCTCCTGAACATGGAGTATCCAGCTGTAAGTATGGCGAAGGGACATTGAGTCATGAAAACGACAGGTTCCACTTCTCGGAAGGGGTGATGCAAAGCAGGTGGCTTGCTTCCATTAGCATGAAATGGATGTAAGAGGGGAAGGGCAGCAGGACAGATGGGTTTCCTCAGACATGTCCTAGCTATGAAGAGTAAATGGGTTTCCAAACCATATCCTTGGGGATCTATCCAGATTCCTAGTTTATATTCCAGCTGATCTCTGTAACTGGACCCAAAGCCCTTGTGGGTTGTGTTGAACTCCCGGTGACCTACTCCGGAGCCTTGCAGATGGATTGGGCTAAAAATTCCAATTAAAAGATACTGGAGGCTTGCTTTCTGCTGCTGTTGGTTTTGCAGGAGTACGGCTTAAAACAGCTCGTGGGAGGCAGCCAGAAAAAAACACAACGGTACAGAGACTGGCTGTATCTCTTCAGTCTTCCAGGCAAGGAACAGGAAAGGAAAAAAGGGGTTGGATCCAGTTGCTCCAGCTCCGTTGGCTGTTTTTCACAGTTCCTTCCTTTTGCTGTGGTCGATTTCACGTTTGCTTTCAAAAACTCATCAGGGTTCTGTGCCTTTTAAATTCCCTGTGCTGCTAAAAGCTAAGGGTCTCTCAGAGGCTTTGTTGATAGTGCTTTTAATTCCTCACCCACTAGTTCAGAAACTACAGGCAATTGTGGCTTTGCTTATGATCTGCCCAGTAGCCTCAGATGGTCAGTGGGAGAAACAAAGTGGAGCTTGAGATCTTTTTTTCAAAAAAATTTGTCCAGCAAGGCTCCTTATCTCTGTGCAGAGCGTAGATATTTGAGTGGAGTTAGTGCAGAAAGGTTTTGCTTGCGTTAGGGGATTCTTAAATGGTATTTATTAATTCCTGAATTGGGGACAGAAAATCTGTGACCTACCAGATTGCATTCTGTTACAACTCCCATCATCCACTGATCACACTTGAAGTTGGTGTCCATAAGCGTCCCAGTCCTCTCCTAAGAGTCTTGAAAAGAGTCAGTCTTGAATGTTTACAAAGGATAAGTATGGAGCCTATCCCAGAAAAAAATTGAGCTAGGAAGCTGGTGCAAAAATCAACGACCTATGATTTTAACTTATCTTTCATGTTCAGGTCCAAAGTGAACATGGCAGCACCTCCAGAAAAGTTCAGTGTGGAAGAGCATAGGACCATAATCAAGTTCCTGTTTCCAAGGGAAAGGTGCAAAGCAGATCCATGATGAAATGTCACAAACTATGGGTGACTGTGGCCCTTCATATGCAACAGTTAAACGTTGGGTTGTCAATTTTAAAACTGGCCATTTCGGTGTTGAAAGTGAAGGCCTGTTTCTGTCTCTGTGCCTGCAGATGTGAAAGCCATCCATGACATGATCATGGAGGACCGCCGAATATCAGACAAAAGTATTGCTATATATCTGAGAATATCACGTGAGAGAGTTGGTGCCCTTATTCACAATGACTTGGAAGTGAGAAAGCTGGCAGCAAAGTGGATCCCCAAACTTTTGACAACCGAACCAAAGAGGAAACGTGTGGAGTCATTGGTGGCTGTTTTGGAACATTTTGCAAGAAATGTGTCAGATTTCCTGGGCAAACGGGGTAACTGCTGGTGGACTACCTCCAACAGGGTTCAACCATCAATGCAAAATATTACTGTGCTTTATTGATGAAGTTGAGGCAAAACATCAAGGAAAAACGTGGAGGAAAGCTCTCCAAAGGTGTCATCCTGTTTCATGACAACGCCTCGTCACACACTGCTGGTGAAACAATCTTGACTTCTTGGGGGAATATGTAGAATAGTGTGGCAGTTACAGCCTCCTAGCTCAATTTTTTTTTTCTGGGAAAGGCTCAATACTTATAGATGCTGCTAAAAATGCCCATGAAATTTGAATACCGCAATTGTATTTTCAAGTATCCCCATATGGTCTGGAAAAGCTGAGCGTTTTTTAAAGACAACATAGAAGTCTTTTAAAAAACAAGTCTCCTTACACTGTTCCACATCTGCACCTTTCCTTTCCATCTTCCCCCTTCTCTTCATCAGCATTCTCCTTCCAACCTTGGCGACATCTCGGCGTGAAAGGGTTCTTCTCCTAAGAGCGACGGGGCCTCCTGTGTCCTTTGGGGCCCTTCCGTTAACTGAGCAAACGGGGGCAAAAACATAACGGCGGAAACCAATGCATGGCCTCTTCTGCCGCAGTTCTTGGATTGCTTTCAGGTGGCTGTCCTGGACTGGTCCCTGGCAGGATCCGACCAGCGCTTGGCGGTCTCTTGCCAGCATTGAGCAACTTTAGCGATGCTTGTGAAGAAGAGAGGTCTGCCTTAGCTCACCCGGGGGCTGAACCAAAGGATGGGGAGACGGGTTTCCTTTCTCAGGATCTGCAAACGTTGGTTCCTCTTCTCACTTCCCCTTCCAGTGTTCTCAGCCCAGCTTTGGGGGAGCTGAAATGGGGCAGAAAAGAAGGTTGCTTGCAAAGGGGGCAGCATTTCCGATTTGGTAGTCTCTTGCCACCTGTGTTTGAGATGGAGAGGCAGCTTCCAACCCCTCCCCCCCGGCTCACTAGATGATTTGGACTAGGGTGGGTGGAGCCCCTCCCCATTGATGGGACGGAAGATCAACCCCCCCGCTTTCTGTTCCTCAGTTGTCTCTTCAATGGGTAATTGCAATAAGGAGAGCTCTCTGTTCCTCTCTCTCTCTCTAGAGAGCATGGCCTGGATGTTAGGGCAAGGGAAAAGGCTCTGAACGGTAGATGCCTTACTCTGCAATCAGTTTGTTAGCTGTTTGGCCTAATACATACATTTTTTGCAAGCGAATGATGTCTCAAGCAGTCTTTGGTAGCAGCAGTTGTGGTATTGCCTGCCTCTGTCCACTCACAAAAAAAGAGCGAGTTAAATGCTTCCAAGAAGCCCGGAGGAAATGGTTGCATTTAATATCCTTTTTCGCCCAGAGGTTTGGAAGTCATTTATTTCCACATCCCAGAACTATTCCCGGTGGCAAAGCTGCCGCCGTTTTTTTTGGCTATTCTTGTCGGTTGGCTTTGTCTTGACCTTCCAGTCCCCTGGTTCACCTGATCAAGCTTGTCCCCGCTTTTGCCAGGAACGGTGTGAACGTCGAAGGGGCGACCCACAAGCAGGTGGTGGACCTGATCCGAGCGGGCGAGAAGGAGCTGATCTTGACGGTCCTCTCGGTGCCGCCCCACGAGGCCGACAACCTCGACCCCAACGACGACTCCCTGGGCCAGTCCTTTTACGACTACACCGAGAAGCAGGCGGTGCCCATCTCCATCCCCACGTACAAGCATGTGGAGCAGAATGGTGAGAAGTTTGTGGTGAGTACCAGCCCGGCTGGGCTCGTCCTCCTGAGCCTCCCTACCGTCCTCTTTTTCCACGGAAGGTTTTGCCAGCCCTGCTTCCCTGGCTAGCAGCTTCGTAGGCAGAAGGTTTGGCTGCATGTTGCATAGATAAGAGGAGACAGTAACTTAATTCCCTCTTCCTGCCGACTCCCTTCCCTTCGCCTCCTAGATAATTCTGGTAGGTAAAGAGGGTTTCAAGGAAGAGATTTGCCTGATTGGTGATAGGAAGAGGGCAAGGAAGGCCTCGGTGCTGTTGCAAAAGTGAAAAGTTTGAACATCTGGTCCCACCCTTCCAGTTACCCACAAGGTGGGAGAAAAAGAGAATGCCCACTAGAGAGGGGCATTTAATTAATTATCCTGCAGACGAAAGAAGTACGCATGGGTTAATCCCTGAACAATGTGTCTCAAAGTCTGCTGCCGATGTGCATTAGTATTTATATACCCTGCTAATCCCTTATCACTGACCTTATCTGCATTTTTCATTGGGCTAGTCTAGTTGACCTCTGGTACAGCTGACTTTCACCTTAGCTGACTTCTTATTATGTTCAGGCTTCTCTCTCTCTGCTGTCTCATCTGTAATCTTTCCGTGTCACTCCGTTCTTGTTTTCTTCATTTCTTCTAACAGCGTACAGTATTCTAAACATTCAATTCCTGATGTTAGTATAAAGGTCAGGGCTTGATACGTCCAAGTTTCCTAATATCCAACATTATTACAAAACGAGGCATAAGCATGAGTAAAAATAGGTTTCTTTAACACTGCTCCTCTCATTCCTGTCTCCTGTCTAGGTTTATAATGTTTACATGGCAGGCCGGCAGCTTTGTTCGAAGCGGTATCGCGAGTTTGCCATCTTGCACCAGAACCTGAAGCGGGAATTTGCCAACTTCACTTTCCCCCGCCTGCCGGGCAAATGGCCGTTTTCGCTCTCTGAGCAGCAGCTGGACGCCAGGCGACGGGGCCTCGAGGAATACCTGGAGAAAGGTACCTGTTGTGTCTTCCCAGTGGGAGAAAGATGGAAAGGGAGGCAGGGCTGATCCCTTTTGCCAGGCATGGGTTCGATTTCTGCTTGGCCACTTCTTCTAATTCAGCGGCTTCTTTGGATGTTCATCTGCAGGTTTAAAAGTTCCTTCTTTGACTCTACAACATAGAAATATTTACTTAATTAGGAAGTGTTCTGGTGGATTGGATACCTTTTGAGGGGGGTTAATGCATGATGAAGAATTTGGTCTAAGAGGCAGTGTAGCATGCATTTTTTTACCTGTCCATTATTGAGAGCTCCTGGCATTTTGTACCATCAAAATCTGGCCGATTTGGTTGATTATAGAATCCAGTAAAACCCACTAGATTTGTTATTAACACTCCTTAAACTGAGTGAAAAACCTTTCAAAAGGACCTTTGGAAGCTGCTGTTGCTCCCGTTCCTGGCCTTGACGACTGCTAATTTGGCCTGGAATGAATATTTTCCTCCATTAAGTGGACTTTAGGCATCCCTTAGTGATGTGGCTTCGTGTTGGCAGCAGATTAGGTTGTCGCTGTGTTATTTCCTGGATGCCAAGAAAGTAGCTGGAGGAGCAGGCCCCTCTTGTGGGCTCTGCCTTCCTCCCTTTCTCTTCCTCTGCTGGTCACTAACAAGGGTTTCTTATTTCCTGGTCCCGCAGTGTGTTCCATCCGGGTCATCGGGGAGAGCGACGTCATGCAGGAGTTCCTGTCTGAGTCGGATGAGGTAGGCCTAGTGCAGATGCAGCGCTCGGAGAGATCCTGCCCTTCTGAGTCTCGTAAAGGCTGTAGCTTTAATCCCTTCCTTTGGATGGATAAAATCTTCACACTGGCATCTCTTCGGTGGGCGTGACTTCCTGTCCACTTTGAGCCTTGAACTGTTCAGGGGAAAAAACCACCCTTCCTACTTGCTGGGCCTTTTCTAGATTAGGTCTTGAGAACTGAGCATCTGCTTGCAGTGCTTTCCAAAAGGGCTGTCTTTTTTTCCCACCCCTTTCCTAATTATTTTGTTCTACGGGGAAAAATGTGGATTGGTAACTCTCATTTCCCTTGATGCATGCTGAGGGGTTCCTCTTTTCCTCTCCCGCGGTTCTGTGATGTTCCAAATGGCTTGTTCCGTTTGCCCCGGGGTGAAATGGATCCCTACGCCAAGGAGTGGGTGGTGGCTGAGCGTTCTGGAGAGAGAAAGAGAGAGAGAGCACAGAACCCTTTTCATCTTTCAGTCTCCCCCCCTTTTGTGCTTTTGCCTCCCAGAACTACAATGGTGTCTCTGACGTGGAACTTCGAGTGGCTCTTCCAGACATCACCACCGTAACTGTTCGGGTCAAGAAGAACAGCACCACGGACCAGGTGTATCAGGTGAGGAGAAAGGGCGGTGTTTACTCAGGGAAAGACAAAAAGGAAGGAAGAAAAGAATCTCGGTGTGTATCCTTATTTTTCTTCTTTGAGTAAGACCCTGTGGTCTTTATCTGGAATTAAGGGGAAATCTGGCCTTGTAATGCCAAGGGAGAAGAAGATGGCTTCTCGGAGGGAGGCACGCAGGCAAATTGGACACAGGTCGGCAACTGCCGGTTCACACGCTCAAGTCGGCCCTTCCTACATAGTGGCCAGCATAAAGTGCAGGTTTCTTCCCCATCCATGGGATTTTGCAGCTGCCAAACAAGGGACAAAGGGCCTTGTTCACCCTTCCCTTTAGGCACATGGGTTGCTGAGTCACCGGTACAGCTGGAACACGGAGGCACACAGAAAGGGGAAGCCTCGGCTCTTTTCGGTGGCCGTTGTGTGCCACTGACCGAACCCCCTGTGCCTGTTTCTGGGATTGGAGAGTCGGTGCAGATCGTAAAGAGCAGGCCGTGTGCAGAGAGGGAAAGGTTAACCCTTGAACCTACGGTGGCTGGCCAGTCCTCGCTGGGTTCAAAACGGCCTCATCCAGCTCAAAGCGGCTCCTAGTGTGGAGAACTGAAACCATGTAGGTTGGGCAGAGGAGCCGACCTAGAGCCGGAAACACTCTGCACGTTCCTCAGAGGCCTCTTTCAGGAAGAGCAACCCTTGCTGTCACAGGTCAGGCGATGCTTTTGTCTCGGAGGCCCGGCCAAAAGTGGGCAGCGTGTGAAGAGCCCTTTCTGCCAGAAAGCAGGGTGGCAGCAGCAGCGGCTGGCTCACGTTGGTAAAATATTAGAACTGGAAGGAACCCCACATGTTTGTCAGTTCATCCCCTGGCAGGTGCTGACAGTCATAGCTGAAATCTTCTTGAGCGAAGGGCGCCTGCCTTCTGCTTAAAAATTTCCAGTGAGAGAGAGCCTGCCCTCCCCCTCCAAAGTGGTCTCCTCCGTTGGCAAACAACTCTTGCCCTCAGGAAAACTTCCTGATGCTTATCAGATATTCTGCATTTCCTTATGTTTAACGTTGGTGTGCCATCTCAAGGCGGCGGGTGGTGGTGGTGGGAGGTCAGTGGCTCAAGCTAAGGCCTGGAACCCAACCCCTTTCCCCCTCTTTTCTGCTCCAGGCTGTGGCTGCCAAGGTTGGGATGGACAGCACAACCGCAAACTACTTTGCCTTGTTTGAAGTGATAAATCACTCTTTTGGTAAGAACCGGCCAGGGTGGGAGGACAGGCGGGGGAGTCCCATGGATGAGGGTCGCCCCTCTGCATGTACAGAGTGGCTGGAAGCTGAAGCCCTGCCCTGCCTTTGGGGCCCTTTAGGGTTTTGGAACGAGGGAGAGACAGTGGGCCCAGCATGAGGAAGAGGCGTCTCTCCCCAGGGAAGTGGGCAGAGGAGACTCAAGACTTGCTGGAGGACCGTCTGCTGGTCTTGAGAGGAAGCCCTTCCGTTGGTCCCTGGTTAATTCCATTTGAGGTCAAAACACTCCGTGAGAAGGAGGGAAAAGGTCCCCCGGTCCCCGGGCAAAAGTTTCAGCGACGGGAGAGGCTCTGCAACCGCGATCCAGCCCGTTTGGACTGGCATTCATAGCTGGCATTGATCTCCTCAAGCTCTGTCACTGCCAGCTGCTTTTAGTGGGCCCGTCTCTTTTCCCAGGAGGTTTTCTAAAAAACAGGTTGGCCTTGATGAAGAGACTATAAAAAAAGGTGAAAGTGAATCTGAGCTGGAAGATACTAGGATTACTTTGATGTGGGGTGTTTTCTGTCGTGGCAGTGGGAGTTGAGTAGGAACCTGAAAAGCGGGCAGGGGGAGGGAAGGGGCACAGACCCCCAAAGCCTATGGGGTCCTGATGATGTTTCCCTCCCCCTCCCCCCCCCCTTATGGTCTCCACGCACAGTTCGGAAGCTGGCTCCCAACGAATTTCCCCACAAGCTCTACGTGCAGAACTACACGTCCGCCGTGCCGGGGACCTGCCTGACGATCCGGAAGTGGCTCTTCACTGCGGAAGAGGAAGTCCTTCTGAACGACAACGACCTGGCCGTCACCTATTTCTTCCACCAGGTGGGCGCCCAGAGGTTGAGGTCTCTCTGGCGGCGGAGCCAGAGGTGGGGAGTTCGAATCCCCCACGGGGCCCCTTTGACAGGGGCTGGACTGGATGATCCCAGAGGGGCCCCTTCCAGCTCTGCAGCTCTTAAGATCTTATGAAGAGACTTGCCTTCAGGAGTCGTGGCTCGAAGGGGAAGATGGCAGACATGCTTCTTGAGCTTTGCCTTGGCGTCGGGAGGGATTCCAAGCCCTGAGCCAGGTCTGTTTCTGAAGGCCTTCTGTGTTCTCTAGGCCGTTGATGATGTGAAGAAGGGATACATCAAAGCAGAGGAGAAGTCCTACCAGCTGCAGAAACTCTGCGAGCAAAGGAAAATGGTCATGGTAAGGGGGTCATCATTTCTGAGGGGAAATTTATGAGGCAGGGCGGGGTGAGGGGGGGCTCTGCTCCTTTAGCCCCGGTAAGGAGGGTTCTCAAAAGACTAGGGAGCTGGCTTATGGGCATAAAAACAAACAAACCACACAATAAATAGCTAGTTATAGATTTAGTAGAGTTCTGTTTTTTAAGTATCGGGGGGAGGGGGTGGCCAAAGTGGAGTTAGTAGTCTGTCTTTCAGTTGCACAAGGAGAAAGCTGGGCTGGAGGCAGCTGCTGCTGCTGCTGCGAAGGTTACCTTCTAAAGCTGACTCCTGCCTTCCGTCTTGGTGCTTTTGAAAGGCCCACAAGGGGAGAAACCCAGAAAGATTTCAGGGTGGAATCCTCTTTAAGGATCGCCCCTCCCTTCCTCCCACCTTTCTTCCCTCTGCAGTACCTTAACATGTTGCGGACCTGCGAGGGTTACAATGAGATCATCTTCCCGCACTGCTCCTGCGACTCACGCCGCAAAGGGCATGTGATCACAGCCATCAGCATCAAGCACTTTAAACTCCACGCCTGCACCGAGGAAGGCCAGCTGGAGGTGAGTGGCGGGGGGTGGATGGGGTGGATCAAGAACTGGGTTGGGGAGGTCATCTAGACCACCCCAGTCTGGGTGAAACAACGGCATCCTCTCCCCTCGGCTGACCTGCCCCATTATTGAACAATCGTGGATTCTCTGATGGTTTCACTGAAACCAGCTGCCCTCCGGCCTGTCCCTTGCTTTGCTCCTGACCTTACCTTGCTCTGCCTCGTTCCAGAACCAGGTAATAGCCTTTGAATGGGATGAGATGCAGCGGTGGGACACGGATGAGGAAGGCATGGCCTTCTGCTTCGAATACGCACGAGGGGAAAAGAAGCCACGATGGGTTAAAATCTTCACCCCTTACGTAAGTGTGGCTCTGTGGGGGAAGGAGGAGTCCCTTGCTGTGATTTTGGGTGGCCACCAGGAGGCAGCAATTCCCCGTGGCCTCTAGGAGGCCACGCTGCCGTGATTTTGAATGGCTGCTCGGGGGGGGGGCATCACAGGGGACGTGGCCCTTGCAGACCCTGGGAAGGAGGCCTTTTTTGTTTCCCTAACCGAAAGGGACAACAAGCAGAAGTGCTTGGGTTAGGGCAACGGCCGGGTTTGGAAAGGGGTAAAATTCCCAGGCCTTCCGTTCTGAAAGATTGATTCTTTCCCCTAACCTGTCTCCACAGTTTAACTACATGCACGAGTGTTTTGAGCGAGTTTTCTGCGAGCTCAAGTGGCGGAAAGAGGTGAGGCGTCACAGAGGGTGTGTGTGTGTGCTCCGGGAAGAGCGAAATGGTGGTTTTGCACACATACACACACACCTGGTCGAGCTTAGCCCAAAATGGATGCTTCTCGGCATGCACATTGTGACCCTGAAGTAGACTTTTATTTGCTGCTTGTCTGCTTCCGGGAGTTGTGAGCCCTATTTACTTCCTGGTGTGCATGCCAACCCTTGAGCTGGGGGGTGGGGCAGAGAGATTCCCTTCTGTCTCTGTCTTTGCCTCCCCCCCTTCATGTATGGGAGTGTGCAAACCAAAAAGTTGAATAGTGTGCTTTTGTTAAAAAAAAAATGGATCGCCCTGGGAACCAAGGACACACAACTCCCAGTTGTTTCCAAGACAGACACGGTGACATGGGAGGGTGCGCCATCCATTGCTTCGGGAAGGCGACAGATCGTGTCTGGAAGGGAGCCAAATTCAAGGTTGCCTACCTGGACTGGTTTTTATTTGTGCCTTTAAAATAAAATAAAAATTATCTCTTTGCAGGTGGAGGAAGAAGCAACAGACAAAGATAACAAGAACTGCAGTAAAGACAACATGTGCAGCAAGGTAACCCCATGGGAGGGGATTCTTTTCTGAGATGACGGGCTGGTGCTCACCGATCTCTGGGCCACCGTCTTGTTTTTCTGCATGGCGAGATCCGGAGATGGATTCTGCCTGCTCGGAAAGGGGCGCCCCACAGAGAAATGGGCCCAGGCCCCTTAAGATATCCAGAAATCATCCTTTGCCCTTGCCACTAGCCATCCTTTGGCGAATCTCACCGGACTTGGGAGAGAGGTGGGCATAACCAGAAATGTCATCCTGGGTTTTCCAGGCACCCTTTCCCGATCTGATGTAATCCTTCGAGGAAGTGAGGCCGTAACCCCCATCCTGAGCAGTAATTAGGGCAATGGGAATGATCTTCCAGTAGGAAGATTCGTGGACCTCAAAACGGTTTTTCGGTCTGGGGTGGGGCATGGGTGGGAGTTGTGGGGTAGTTGCTAGTCTCTGCTTCCAGTATCTTAGTTCTGTTTCTCTCTTTCTCTCACCCTATCTCCCACCCTCCCACCCACCCTTCCTCTCTTTCTTTCTTTCTTTCTTTCTTTCTTGGTCACCCCCTGCAGAACATCTTTCAGATGATGCGGACACAGCACAGAGACATTACAACTTAGCCCTGAGCCCACCTTGGACAAATATACGTGTTATCCCTTCCTCGGCCCCACCCCACCCCAAATTAACACTTTTAAAAACAGAAACAAAACAAAAAAAAAATCAGAGAGAAAGAGAGAGATAATGGTTTATTGTATTAAAGCCCTTAAACTAAATATTAATACCATTTGTGAATTTCATGTTAAGCCAGTTGGGGGCAGGGAAGCCAGCAAAGGCGTTGGAAATGAGGGAGTGGGGAATCCAGATTATTAGCCAATGAAAATTGTTGTTTTCTAGTTTATCCCCTTCCTGGGGTCTTGTTGTTCAGAGATGGACTACGCTGCGGGAATATATTTTTTTCTTTGTTCCCCCTTCTGTTTTTTTGTTTTGTTTTTACAACTGGATATGGAAATGTACATCCATTTGCACTGTTTGGACATATATATGTATGTATGTAAAAATTATATATACAAACTATCACGCACGTAGATACATATATATAATTTTCATATCGATGGCTGTTACCTTTCAGGCCCTTGCGTTTCCATGCGAGGGTGTCTCTTCCCTTCCTGGATTGATCATGGTGTTGTTGATGTTTTGTAAAAATCTAGAACAAGGAAAGAGAGAAGAAAGAAGAAGAAAAATAAAACAGAAAAAGGGCAGCCTCTCTTTGTAAATAGGGACTGGCCGGAGCTGAAACCAATTTCGAACACTACCAGAATCTAAACTGAGTTCTGAAAATTATGCCATTGTGAGTTCCAAAATCTGGGTTTTTGTTTTTAATTTCGTTTTGATGATTGAGACAAAGCTGTTCCCACCATTTTGAAGAATATTTTGGTTCTGTATGTCTTTCTGCAAATGTGAACATTCAGTCGAAGGTTTATAATTTTTTTTCCTTTTCTGAAGTGTAGAATTTCCTTTCAGCTCTGGCCGTCTTGTATTTTCTGAATATATAGCTTCAAAATCTGCCCTCTCCTACCTCCGGTGTTAACCTGTTCCTTCAAGGCAGAATAGAATAAGGGTGAGAAGCCCGCTTTTCCTTTCCTGCCTCCTTCTTTAGCCCTCATGTCTCCAAATTCCGGTTGGAGTAAGAAGAGGAGTTTACTAAATGCTGCCTCCAGCCCATCAAGAGCATCGCAGGCGAATCTGTGGCTAGTTTCCTGATGGTCAGATCTGTCCCTGGTCTGGTCATTCACCAGTCGCCAAAATATGTTCTAAAGCAACCTCCTCCTACTGTGTGGCCTCCCATACTGCTCCCGAGGGCTGGAGGGAGAGGAGAGCTGTAGCCTATCCTGCCAAGAAGGCCCCCCCATTGGGTGGATGTTCTTTCAGGTCATCCAGCTGTTTCACAGCAGCTGTGCCTGGCCTGGCTGCTGGAAGAGGGCAAACAGATGGGGTTGTGTCCACTCTCTGGAGAAGGTGGTGGGTTCAGTTGTCCCAGCTCTTGAGAACATTTGGAGCCACGGAAGCAAATTGCTCGGCCGTGTGGCCGTTCCCAGGGTGGCTGGGTTTGACAGTGAAATCTTCAGGGTTGGCCAAGAATGAACGGGGGCCAAGAAGGCTCTGCCTGAACAAGAGGTTTTCCTGGGTATAACGAAGACTGGCTGCTCCAAAGAGGTGTGTGCCTCCCCCCCATGAGTTGACAAACCGGTGACTTCAGAACTCGAGTTGAGAACATGAGAGGAGTCCTGTTCTTTCAGACCCGGTCCATCGTGCCTGGCACCGTATTCTCCATGGTGGCCGGTCGGATGAACCGCAAGAGCAGAGAAGCAAGACTGAGAAGGCCCGGCCATGCTCCACACCGCTTGGTGTTCAGAAGTAGGCTGCCCAGAAAAGTGGTGGTCCCCTCTTTCGCAACTTGGCAAAACTCCTTTTTTCGAAGTCAGGACAGCCAGGAGCTGTCACCGCCTCTTGTGGCAGGAAGTTCCACAAGTTGTACATATTGTGTGAAGCAAGGTTTGCTTTCTTTTGGGGCTTGGGAATGAGGAAGGGCAAACACAGGTGTTTGGAAGAAGGGCCATCACTTGGTAGCCGACCACATGTACAGGCATGTCTTATCAAAAGATCAGAAGGAGGCAGGATTTCAGAAGGAGGGTGGGAAGACCTTTCCTCCCTTAGGTCTGGAGAGGGCACGACCAGGGAGAGCAGGCGGTCTGATATCTGACTATATGCAAGGCAGTTGCACCTTTGCTTTTATCTATATTGCAGCTTTGTCAGAGAGAAAAGGCAAGACGGACTGAACTGCACCCTGTGGGAAACGGAGAATGAAACCACCCTGGGGCTTGAGAACTTGGTGGTCTGCTTAGGTTTTGTTTAAAACTGGACAGTTCTTGCTCCTTTCCGTTGGGTGTGAACATCAAAGCTGGTGGAAGCTATCTGGAGGTTTCAATCCTCGAAAATGCCTGCATCCCAGCAGGGCGAGGCAAGGGAAGAAAGGGCTGCCGGACCCACGTCAGAGACCGTTGCGGCTTTAGTTGTCCACTGGTCATCCCAGGCACCCTTTCCCCCTTGTTAATTCTCTCCCTCCTTTTCTTAGAAATTTCAAATGGAGCCAGAACATTTCAAGACTCTGGCAGAGCGAGGAAGCCCAGAGGAGAGAAGTTAAAACGGGCTAGCTCGTCCAAAGGGCTGCAGATCCAACTGGCAAAACCACGTAGCAGTGAGGTGGTAGTCCTTTTGTCTCCTTAGGCAACCTGTGTCCCATGTTCGCACCTTGCCGTCTGGAGGTTCACCAAGAGCCAGGGGGCCTTCCTGCCTGTTTCTTTGGCATTCACCCATTTGCCCAAAGGCTGGTTGGCTCATGCCCTGAATCAGCGAGAGTCAATGTGTCCATTTCCCCGACATTTCAGAAGGTAGTGCTGCCCAACTGGACACAAAGCTACCGTCGCCCTGCCTGTTGATGGAAGGGGACATCCGTGCCATGTATCTGCCATACTTTTTCAGCCTCAGCATTATGTTCTATCATCGATTCCCACAATGGGACCCTTTACAGATGTCCTAGGACTGCAGCTTAAAAAGGCAGAGAACAGAACATTTAACATCCGGCAGTATAAGCGGGCAAAGAGAGACCAGGGAACAGGGATGGTGGCTCAAGGTGGTCAGTTATATCCTTGATACAAGCTGTTTAAGCAGTCCCTTTAAATCCCCTGGAAGCCAGACTGAAAAGTCTCTCGCTGGGGAAGAGGCTTGGCAGGTTCTCAGGAGCAGCCCTCAGCTTTCCGCTCCGTGGGCCGGGATGCCTCCAAAGGGGTCGAGATCCTCCTTTTTGCATGCTGATTCCCCAATTAAAGCCTTTCTTCCACACTTGATATGTCATTTCAGAACATCCCGTTTCCCTCGCTTCGGCCGTTTGGCAGGGACAGGCCTTGCACCGTTGTGCCCAAGGCCCCTTTGCGTATCTGCGGGCCAAATAGCAGCTGGCGGACAGTTAGAGAAGTTGAGTTAACCATCTCGGTTTGCTGGAGTGTCAGTAAGTTGACATTTTGGGGGGGAGGGAAAGAGAGATGATGGAGCCGGAAGTGTTTGTAGAGCAGTTTGCTAGAGGTCTGAGGTGTTGGAAGGAACTGGGTTTTGGGGAGATACGAAGCCTTGAGACCAGGATGTGAGGAGAATGTGTGTGTGTGTGTGTGTGTGTGGGGAATCTGCCTTAGTGTGTGGCCTGGCTGAAGGGGTGAACGTGAAACCCCAAGGCGAAAGTGTTGGGTTTAGTGAAACGAAATAGTCCTGCCATCTTTGTGAAAGAGGCCTCTAACGCTCGACAGGAAGCGTTGGTTGTTCTGAATTTTGTTCTTTCACAACGGGCACAAATGCAGGTGGATTTTTCACTTTTTTAAAAAAGCATCTTGGAAACCGGTTATCTGACCCCCTTTCCCATGCAATGTGTTGCAGCCGATCTGCTTGGGAGGCCCCAACGCCCGGAAGGAAAGCCAGAGTTGGCTTCCTTCTCGCTGGGCTTGAACCGCCTGGGCCTTTCCCCTTGGCATCGGGTGTGTTTCAAAACCACCGGTTTAGGGTTGGTGGGGCTTCGGAGAAGCGTGAAGTTGTGCCTTATTAGAGGGTGGCCAGCCCTGCTCCCAAACAGGGGTGGGAAAGCCTGAGCGACATCCCATGTTTGAGGCCAGGGCCCTCGTTCAAGTCTCTCAGAGAAGCGGCGCTGTCGGGTCGCACGCGCCCGCCTTCTGTGGGACACTCGGGAAGATCAAGCGTAGATTTGTGGAGGTGAACAGCTGTGCCTTTTCCTCTCTCTCTCTTTGTGTGGCTGCTCTTCTGCCACAGTTCTGTCATCGAGAACCAGGCAGGTTTCGAGGCTGCACCCCATGAAGGATTTGGGGTGAAGGTGCTAAACCCCATAGAAATGCCCCCTTTCTGGCTTGGACCCAGAACTAATATGGATCAGCACCTTTGCTCCCTCTGTGGACAGCATTTCAAGGAAGCCCCTGCGCTGGCAGCAAAAGTAACAGCCCTCTTTCTCCCCAGCTCCTGCCTTTGAAGGTAGCCTACCTCTGAACCTGGAGGCTCCATCTATCTTGCGGGGGTTAACAGACACTGCGATGCCACCTCCTCTGGGATGAATGGGTTTAATCCTCTTTTGGAGCCAACCAGATCCAAACCTGGGCTTCGCTTTGCGTCATTCATTCCTCGCGTGAAAGCTCTGTTTGTGCGCCTATGAGCAAGGGGGAAAAAATAACCATGAACACAGCAAATTGTTTAATCATTTGCTTGCTTGTTATCTTACTGGCCCAGCAAGTGCTTTGATAGCTTACAAACTTGGCAAGTTTCTCTCACTCCCTCCCCCTGATCAGCTAATTAACAAACCACTGCAACAGAAGTAGAATCATTAGAAGTCCCATTAAGTCAGTCTGATAGAAAAGAAAGGAAGTTGTGTGTGTGTGTGTGTGCGTGCGTGCCAGCTGAGGAGAATTACCCTTGGTTTTTCACACACAGCCCTGGGATGTAGTCCCTGCCTTCCGTGTTGTGGTTTTTTTTATCTTCCCCAAGTTTCTTTCTCTCGTCACCATCCAGTGATAAGAGCTTTTTCTGACGCTGGTACTTTAGGAAGCGAGCACTGTGGGACCGCTTTGTTTAAAATGCTTTATTTTCTCCCTGACTCTCTTGTGATTCCCTAGAGTCTGACGCTTTTGCACAGCCGGTTGCCAGGGCTTCTGGGTATTGTAGTCCAAGAACAACTAGCCCCCCCCCCCCAACGAGGGCCCCACTGTGTCAGACTTAAAAGATTTGGCGCTGTAGATGCCAGAATTAAAACATGGAGCCCACGATGCAGTGCCATTTGGGAGTCTGGCCGGATGACTGCGTTGCCTAAGGGCGAAGGCTCGATCCCACCCCAGATTGTGTAGAGTCCTTTGAAAGAAAAAAAATCTAATTGGCAAGTTAGATTTTGCAGAGTCACATGGGATGGGAAAAGCTCATCCGTGCAACCTTCAAGGAAGCGCTCTGCACATCATTCTATCCTGAATGTGTGAGTGGCCTGACTAGAAAGATAATCACCACTGTGTCTTGCCTCAAGCGAGATGTCTGTCTGTCTCTCTCTCTCTCCTTGCTAATTGGCTGCTGTAATATGGATGAAATCCACCTCCATTATGCAGGAAATGTGAGCGTGTTCCATGCTTTCTCTGCTGTTGAACTGCCGCGCATTCCCCTGGCCCATCGCCTCTGTTCCGGCCGGCGGCTTGTCCGATCCCATTTAGGGATTTTGAGAAACCATCCTTTGGCCGCCTCTTGTTTCCGAGCCGGCGATTTCTCTTGCTTCTTTAAATTCAAGAGCGGCTCACGAGGCTCATCCCCACCCGCGGCAAAACACACCACGTCAAGCGAAGCTGGCTTTTAAATGGGTCAGGGTGTGAATTGTTAGTAGGGTTGAGTGTTAGTTTTTTTTCTTTTTCTTTTTTGGCATAACTCTTCCGCTTGGTATGTTTTTCTAATCTGAATATTCAGTAGCGACAGGTGAGGGAATAGATTATTCTTAGCGAGCCGTAACAGGATAAAAGTCTCCCAAGAAGCCATGAGGCTTTATGGCCACATTTCAGCAAACGTGGCGTGGAGCAGGCGTCGGCAGCTGGCAGCCTCTAGGTTATGTCCACCCCTCTGCCTGGAAAGGGGTCCTGTTAAAACTTCCCAGGGAACATCTAGACCTGTGGGGTGATGCCAAAGGCTCGCGAAAGCAGCAGCTGTAACCAAGTTGGCAGGTACTCCGATCCTTTCTGCTTTTGACAACTGCTGTTCTTTTATGCAGCTGCCATTCCCTTAAGGCTCTTTCTGGTTTGCCACTGTTTGATTAACTGGGGAAGTGATGGGCGAACAAGCAACCCCCAGATCTCTGGGTCTCTGTTTCTTCCACACGAAACAGCTTGTCATGACACCGGAGGGACCAGTGGAAGGTCTCCTGCCTTTGTTTATGCTGGCAGATTCGTATGTCATCTCCTGGTTTGTTTGCTTGAAAACGTATGCTAGTGCGTCACGATAATATGCAGGAGGGTGTATCTGTTACGTGCTGAAAGGCCAAGATTCCTGCCATGAGAGAACACAAATTCTACAGACAGTATTAACTTCTGCTTCTAATGTTCAGTGTTATAACGGAGAATGCTAGCACATTTCTGCCATAAACTCTTACAGAGCCAGGAAAAATATAGTTGAGTGAAGGAAAATGCAAGAAAACAGCAATACAAAAATTGATGTGATAAATTTCAGAATGAAAGATTTGCTCAGAAACCCCCACCTTCTAGCTTCGGACTCGCCAGTGGGTATCTGATCTTGATAGTTCAACAACACGTTGCCCCCAGCCTTAAGGATCGAGCGCTTCACTCGATAGAAGCCAAGCTGAGAATGAATTCGGGGCCCCGTTGCAAGTTCAGTCCTAAGGGGAGAAAACATGAGAATCTGTCAGTAAGCCTTTGCAAGCGAGACAGGAAGGGGCCCCCTGTGTCTTGGCTGCTCTGGTTGGTTATCCATCAAAAACCATGGTTTCTGGGGTTAAAAGGCAAGTCACCCCCCCCCCCCCGGAGCGGTCTGTCTAGCTCGGTCCTAGAGGGAGAACCACCTCCAGTGGTGCAAGCCGTGCCGTCCACGAGGGAGGAAGGACTCCACTTTGGAAGGACTTCTGGGAACAGGTTTGGGACACACACACACACACCTTGAATCTCTGGGGAGCCACTGCTGGCCATACTGGGTGAGGTGGACCAGGGACTCAACTTTGTGTCCTGAGCCAGTTCAGCATGCCAGCATGCATTCTCCTCACTCTTCTGTCCCAGTCTTCTGCTTGGGCACATGCCGTCTCCCTCTTACCGCTTAGATGATTCCCGTCTCTAACGTCTGTGCTGCTACTCCATCCGGCAAAGTTCAAGCCTCTTTCCTTTCAAAATTTCCACTCCTCCCGGATGGCAAACGGCAAATGTGCGGGCTCCTCCCCTCGCTGGTTTCTGAACGCCTCCGCCTCCGCTCTGTGCCGAATCCAGCCTTTGCAATGCTACTGACCACCCTCCCCGTGGCTGCAGGCTTGGTGTATAGGGCGGGCCCCGTCTCCTTCCCTGGAATAAAGCCTGCTTAAAAACACCAAAAGGGATATATTTTATGTCATTAGAAATGACATCTCTGTTTTCTCCAAACCACATCCTGTTGCTCGTGAATATTTCTTTTTTGGGGTGCTGCTGATTCCTCGAGGTTCCTCCTTTTGCAGGTGGAAAAACTGGGTGGCTTTAGCCCAGCAACCTCTTGTTAAAATATGGGGTGAAAAAGTCTTAATTCTCCCGCTCCTCTGTATTCTGTTGCATTGAATAAAAGTCCTGGGTTATTTTATTTTTTTGGTTTGTTTGACTGTCGCAGCCTCATTTTTCGACTTCCGATTCTCTGGACACCGTGGCGTGTTGGCCTGTTTCTCTCTCCCCTTTTTTAATTTATTCGAGAAGAGTTTTTCATTGTAATTTTCATTGCCATCTGTTGTAATTTAATCTGCAATTTCTATATGCGAAGCAGAAGAAAAATAGCTTGGGCCATGGTGATGGGGAGAGAAGAAAGGTTTTTTTTTTAATTTTTAAGAAAAAAGAAAACCATTTCCAAGCAGTGTTGCATTCTCCATTTTTCTTTAGAGCTAACGACTCTAAAATTTGTTTGGTAAAAGTCAATTAGTGTAACTAATTGTAACATATTCTTTTAAATAAATTGATTTATTGATGAAATGGTTCAGTCGTCAGTTGTTGTTTTCCTCCTGGGCAGAAGCGGTGTTTAGGCTGGAGTTCTGCTTGCCCGTAGAAAGTCACGGGTGCAAATCGAGGGGGCTACGGCCTGTTACTTGAGCTACCTTCTGTGTGTCTGAGGGACGGCCCGCGAATACTCCTAAAATGCTACACAGTGTATAGTCTGCCTTACAGGACAGGCTGTCAGAAGAGGTGCCAAGAAGCTGAGGAGAGAGAAGGACGTGGTGCCACTTTCTTCTGGCTCTTGTGGTAAGCTTGTGGC